AAAGCAACGCGAAATGATGTTGGTTACATTCGTTTGTGGCCTTTGTTTGCCTAAGTACATTTTATCGCCTTGTATTTTACTCTTGATTTTACTCGTGCTTGTTTACGATGCCAAGATTTTTGCACTTTGTCGACTATCAAATCGTGATGAAGCCATTGCGAGAAAAAACCATTTTTCCAAATAACTGAAAATAATACAATCATTCATGATTATGTGTGCGTGTGTTAGGTTCATGCTCCACAATCGGTGCACAAAAATTTATGTACTGATTGGTACGGCGCCTCGCTAAAATGTGAAGACTGGACCAAATGAATTTAAGTGCCGAATCAACTGCTGTTCGGTGTGTAACGCCTAACAATTTATTGCACATAAAAGTGACTTTACTTGGACTTTGCATGATGTCGCTCAATAAAACCCGGACCATATAAATATTGAAAACAATTGCACACACATGGCAACGCACATTTGTCTATTTCGGTTCGATGATACATTTGCTTTTTTTGGAAATGCCAACCTTCGACTCTTCTTGTATACATTATAGACTAGCAAAATTCTCAGCCATCCAAATGATACACAAAGTATGTCGTAGCAATGGTAGTTTCGCCACTGACTCAAGACTTATTTATGGCTTGTCGAAACTGTTTTGAAATTACTCTTCACATCAACACATTCCTCGCAGCTTTTATTGCATTCTTAAATGTGTGCTAAGTGCTTAAAATCATTATACTGATCTTTTCTGCCTTTCGACCAAATTTTATAACCATTGAACGTATGCGACGTATGAAACATTATTTGGAAGAGAAAATTTGTCAGGGCAGTTCAGAATAAATAGTTTCAACATTCTTTCTACTCAATGTTGGGAATACTCCGGATGTGGTAAAAATAAACTATTCAAAATAGTTTTTTTCTTTCGATAAATGGGGAATTTTTTGAGTACGGATGAAATTTGTTTTAATATGCTTCAATAATATGTCCCATACAGGACAATAGCGTTATTCATGATGTGCCAGTCGATCGGAAGAAATATTGGCAAAAAAAATCAGGCCAAATATTCAGAATACAAAGCCGCAATGCAGATGGAAATGAGCCAATACTTTTTATGAATTAATTAAACAAGTTCAATAGGGTGACCCATTTTTTTTCGACACTTTTATACTTTTGCGGTTACAGAATTAGATTCGACAAATTTTCTTTTCTAACAAATTCAGTGATTTAGCAAAATAGAAGAGGTTAGCAGAACTGGACTTATTAAAAATTGGTTTTTTTCTTTAAGAAATGAAGTTGACTCAAAGTTTTTATATTTTTTCACAGAGAAAATATCGTTTCAAGTTACCATACCAAGCCAAACATCGAAACACAAAGAAGTGTCTCTTATAATTCTCAAGAAGATTTTTTTATTACTCTCACGATGGCTTAAAAGTTGAAAAAAACATCACTTTTGTATTATAGTTAATTTTGTCGTGGATTACCTTAAAAAATTATCCAAAAAATCCATATTTACTCCGACGTCATGTGTATTTATGTCTCATTAATTCTCGCTATAAAAGAATAAATAAAATGAAAACAAATGCCATATCATTTATATTGATTTTCCAAAAAAGGTATTTTCTTTATTAATTTATTGTTTGAATTGAGAAAATTCGATTTGTCGAAAAAAAAATACTAACGAAGAATTAAAAATTATTGGTTTAGTTATTAAAAACATTTGAAATTGGTTGACAGTTAAGCTGTTACCTGTATCGTTTCGATGAAACGCTACCTTATTAGTACTTCACATCACATCAATATAAATGTTGTTTATCATGGAAAATAAAAAGAAAATCGCGTTCGTCAAAAACGAAAGAAGAAAAATGTTGTATCGTCGAAGATAGCGTTTTATTTGATTAATTTTTCAACAATTTTAAAATGTTAATTTATATTATAGCTACGAATCATTGTTAATTGATTTACTAAAGCTGGTCGGTGTTGTTGATTGCTTAACTGAATGCATGTAATTCAAGACATTCAATTCTGTGCCACAATCTGGTCTTGCTCTAGAAGAAGAGAAAGAGATAGAAAAAAACAGAAATTGCATACACGGTTGTCGTTGGTAAATTTTACAGAAACCGGCACACAAATAAGCAATTCCATTTTTTATACAAACAAAAAATATTCAAACAAAAAATTTTTTTGTTTTAACGAAACGAACAAACAAAAATGTTGCAAATGTCCAAATGAAAATGAAAAGTGTCGAAGGAGAAAATGATATTTCATTTGCGCCAATTTATACGACCGGAAGAATGTCAAAATTTCAAATTAATTCCAATTCGTTGCATCATTTTTTGATTGGTTGAATTTTAGTTTTGCATAGATTTTCTTCTTCTTTAATTATGATATATATTTATTTTAGCAAACTAAAGCGGATTTAAATCAATTGGATGAATCATTGCACAACCTTTGTGTTTGGAATCTTTGTACTTCGGATTCGCTGTATTGTGTGGCACCATTGCCGACGATCACAGTTGCACTTGGTGCACCAACACCGCCGATACTCATTCGTCTCGGTTCGTGGAAACGTTTAAAACATCGGAATAAATTCAAAAATGCTTTTCGAAAGCCTCTATTCATGAAACAGTACGTGATGGGATTGCAGCAGCTGCTTGAATACGCAAGCAATTGAAAATATGTGATTGTTGTGTAGCCAAGTGTTTGGTAGACAATCTGGGGATTGAATAACGCTATCGTATTGATGATGTAAAGTGGTGTCCAGCAAATGAAAAACTCCAACACAACAACGAACAACATTTGAATGACACGCTTTTTATTTTGCAGGCTCTTTTCCGCATTGGTCCTGTGTCAATTGGGGGAGAGAGAGAGAAAAAAGGAATACAAAAACAAGAGTTAATGGTATATTTAAGTCAAGTGCTATTTGATTTAAACGATAAAAGAGCTCGATAATGAAAATGTTAAATAAGAGTATAATTAAAATGTTTTAAATACAAAAGAAATGAATTCATGCTGTTGAATAATTAAGAAAATGCTATGCAAACAATTTTCAATGACGCCGCATAATGTTGCAACAGCAGCCACCTCAACGATGCAAGCACAAAAAGAAAAACGAACAAAGACAACTTTATGAATGACATTATTTCAACGACTGCATTGAGTAAATATTTTCTTCGTCGTTTGTGTGTACACACAGGTGCATCTTAATCCCATTTTCCATAATAAAGAGTCTCCTAACAAATGCTGGCAATATCCACGCGCGCGTGTGTGTAGATGGAGGTGAATGTGCAATGCACAAAATCCAATTATTTTATAAGCTAGAAGCAGAAACTAGAGTGAATATTCATTAGCGCCCGGTTGCAATCTAATATCGCATTCACCCAATCCACTCACAGCTATATAGACATAATCTCATCGTTTCCTTGAATATAATACATTTACATTATTTCACCATGTTCAACTAATTAAGATAATAATAACAATATTGGGTCAACTGAATTCAGATTTAGCGTGTCGAACGATTTTGTGGTATATTCTAATTTCGAGTGCGTTTCAAATCATCAATGGAGTGGATATTGAAGATTGTGATTGCATTTATATTACATGATCATGAAGGTTAACATTGATTGTAAAATTACATGAAGATGGAAACCATACCGCTCGTACGGGGTTCATTTCATTAAACGTCTACACGTATATATCTAATGGTGGAAAGCATCTTGAGAGATTTCGTCTTCAATAGAAATCAATGACCGACGTTTCAATTAAATTGCTGGTTTCGAGTTCATATTACATCGAAACTAACGACTAATAATGACCGTTGAGGGTCGAGTATGAATCGAGAAGAAATTTTTATCATCAACAATTGATTCAAATAGAAACGTTCTTTTCAATTAAATATTTATTTTTTTCGTTCAGCATCGTCTCCATTTCGGTTTTTTCTCTCGCTTCTTTCATCTTGAATGTCTGATTGTATTCTGAATAGGGCTAAAAACCAAAGTGGCCATTTCAAGTTTAATGCTCGTCTTTATGGTTGCTGAAACATAAAAAGATCACATTCGAATGGAATGGCCCAGCATGAAAAGTGCACCCTTATTCACTTTCAATGTGCGCCGTATTGTGGTAGTATTAGCTTTTAACCGTGTTTATGGTTTTACGGTTTCACTTTTGTTTAACAAGCAAACATATTAACACCTGAACTATGTTGATGTTGACTGTTGACGTTGATGTTGTAAGTTTCACCGCGTCCGCTCACTTTCTCTCTATTTCGGTGGTGTATTCTTTAGTGTAGGATTGTTTTTTTTTTCTCTCGCAATTTTGTGGAAAGTCTCGACATCGTTGAAATGCCATTACTCAAGTATCGTTCGCCATAGCAGAGCCAATTCATAAAAGGCGCCATGCACACACATTTTAATTACACCATTGAAAAGCTCAAGTGAGCTAGCACACACAACGTTATTTGCTTGTGAATTGACTGCACTTAACACAGTCAACACGAAAAATAAAATAAAAACTGGAGCCAAACAGCACCAACAATTTATTGTGGACCAAATGCCCTTGTGCCATTGAAATAACTGTGATGTTGAGAGTTTCAACTCTTCATATTGAGTAAATTGCCTCAAAATCTCAAAAATGAAAAGATGTTAAAATGAACTTGTCGACTGAATTACTCAACACACAACCAGAGCACTTTTAGTCTTGAATTAATGAGTATTCCGAAGAAAGTAGAATTCAACGCGTTTCACGCATTTGTATTGCATATGCAGATTAATTTAATTAAAGTGATTAAGTCACATCAAAATAAGCCAAACTGAAATAAAAACCAATTCTATGAATAGACACTTGACGAGAGCAGAATTTAACTGAGAAAAAAAATATATTGTATTTTACGTAGCACTGTTTTCTTTGCGACACACACATAGACACAGTACGCGTCAAATAACATCCTACTTTAATGAATGCGTCTCTTTCTCTGTGCGAATGCATGAATCGGCATCGCTTTAAATGGAAAATAAATTGAATTCAAGATAACACTTCATTGTGTAGTGAATTACATTTTCAATGTGCTTCAAGGAATATTTGAAGCAACGGCCTACCCAAAATAGGTACCATGAAACATGCGTGCACCAAATTCCAAATGACTTTTTGCATATAAATGAAATGGAAAATGTTAAAATAGAGAATGAAATGAGAATTGAGAGAAAGAAGAAAGAAAAAAAGGAAAAATGTGTTGCGCCGTCACAAAGTTGTAAAATCACAAAACCAACAATTATGTTTTTGTGTTGGCGTCTGTTGGCCCAAAGTTCGGTTTTGCAAAAGATTTGAAATCCGATTTCGAACAATTTACTGTGCAACGCACAAAAAAAAACGAAGAAAAAACCACACATTCAAAGTTAGAAAACGACTTGTTCGATTTGAAAACGAGCCAGTTATTCCATTTCAAACGAAAAATGCCGCAAACCTCAAATCAATTGAATCGATTTATGCCAATTTTGAGCGAAATCGGTGACTATGCCTGCAAAAACTTAGACGTCATATTTGTAGCCGTACGTCAGAAAAACATATATATTTTTTTAAATTTCTTAGAGTACGTACCTACGGCCAAACAGACAAAAAAAAAGTACATTTTTCAGATCGCTCGAAAAAAGTACGTAGAAAATGTCAGACTCAAGTGTATGATTCACAGAACAATGTGTGAGGGCACGTTTTCGATCTTTCTTTCTAGAAAACTCGAAAAAGTTGAAAAAAACTTAAATGATTTTACTGTAACTTAATTGAAACTTCGTAAAAGGTCTGTTTTGGTTAAATAACATTCTTGTTAAAATACTCAATTTAAAAGAAAAATGAGGTGTTTTTAATTTTGAAATTATTTTAACATTCTGGTAATTTGAATTAATTTAAATTAACATACAATTTAGCATGTTTTTGCGATAAAAAAACCCTTTTGAATATTTAACTGTTTCCTATTTCACAAGCACACATGAATTATTCATATTAGAAATACACTTAGTAGTAATGTTTGATGTATATCTAAAGTGTGATTGTTGAAATATAAAAATTGATTTCAAAATGTGAAAATTATCAACTGTACGACAAAAAAATAGGTTATTAACTGGATATTTGCTTGAAAATTCTTGAAAATCCACACAAATGTGAAGATTTACTGTATTAGATCGACCACTGCCAAGGTCGATCAGGCATTATTTATTTATCTATCAAGTACTGGCTTAATATTTACGGGGAAAAAATGAATTTGAAGAATTCATGCAAAAAAGACCTGATTATTTCGAATATATAATAAAAAGTTACGTCAATAAATTTCCGTCAAGTAATAATTCGTGCGTCTGCGTCAACGAAAATTATGCATGAAAACCAAAAAACTATGATAATATGACGCACGAAAATATTTGTTTTTGGTTCTGAAACGAACTTGAACAAACAAACAACATCTGGTCCAAAAAATTGGCAAGTATAAGTACAATAACGGTACTCGGCTTGAAACCAGTATTGATTGTTCTGAAACCCATTCAAAAACGATCGTAGCAAGATGAAAGTACTTCTTTTTATTTTTATCGTATCCATTGCCTGCGATGTACTTGCTCTCAACACAGCTCGGGGTGTTTTCAAGAATTTAAAAAGTCCTGGTGTCCGGAACGCAGCAGCCAGGACTCTAAACATAGGTGCTCACACACCTAAACCCGCTATTAAGCCTATGGGCAAAGTAATCCCTCCGATTCGTACAACAAATATAGCCAGTGATGTTCAAAAAATACGCGAACTAGATTTGCTCAAACGAGGACTCAATATCAGCCCAAACGCAGCTACCAACATTGCCAATAGAGTTCAATTCGCTGCCCGAACCGCTGCACAGTCGGTGAAACCATCGAAAATTGAACTTAGTCAAAAAGATCTTGCTGAACTCGCTAAAAAGCTCGCTGCTCTTCCTCAATCAACTCCAGCACGAAAAACAGCTATTCTTACTTGGGGAAGAATCTTGAATGGTATTACTTTTGCGTATGCTGCTTATGCTCTAAGCGGAGAAGTAAGCGATGTGCACCAAAAGGCGTTGGAGATAATGGCAGAGGGTCATAATGACGATGTTCGAAGTGGAATGGAAATTGCTGATGATATTGCGAAAGTTTTGAGTCGAAGAACGTCGGTTACGGAGCGAGCCAGAGTATTAGGAGGTCTCATCAAAACCTACAAGAATTTCAAATCGATTTATGCAGAAAAGTACGAAGAAGAACTTAAGACGTCAAAAGAATTTATTGAAAAGCAACGCAAAAATTTAGTAGATTTATGGAATGGATGGTTTGAAGTTTTAGGGTTTTTGAAAGACGTTGGCTATGACATTAGCAAATATCGCTCCAATATTGAACCAGAGCTTGCGGCTGAGATTAAAAATAATCCATTTTCTGATAAATATGTAGCCACAAAGTATGCTCCACTTTATTAAGTACTCCAACAAAAAATTCAATAAAGCATTTAAAGTATCTTATCTGCAAGTAAGATCGGAGAAAATAAAAATAGCATTTTTACTTCATACGCATCGAAATTATTCGATTACTTTCATTTTTTCATTTGAAAAGTCAATTTAAAAAAGAAGAAAAGTGATGATTTGCCTGTCCAAGAGCAGGAAATGTTCAAGAACAAACAAACAAAGAACACACAGAATATTCACGAACATTCGTATAAAAATTTTGTGGTAAAATCATCATTACAGTTTGTAACACAGCAATACCGAGGCAATGAATGTGTGAATGTGTAACACTGTGTTGTACGGTGTTGTATGGATTTTTCCGCCATGTCAAACGTAATTATAGCAAATTATAGCAGTTGAACTTGTTATGTTCAAAAAAAGAAGTGAAATTCTCAAATTATGATCAATTCAAGAAAAAGAAGAGATAATTTGTACATGTTCTGAAATGAATGTTGTACTGCTTAATTGAGTAGACAACTCTCTTCCTTGCTACTTACTGCAAGTCTACTCGTCAAAATAGCTGCTTTACACCAAACTAATCACTCTCGATTTCGATAATACAAAAATATTGAAAAAAAAACGTAATAAATTCAAATTACAATTACATGAGGTCAATCAAATTATAAAATTCGAGGATAAAGTGTGCAATTTTGAAACAGATAAGGAAGATTATTCTAATACTTATAACAATTTAATTATTAGCCAATAGACGTTAAAATCCACATTTCTTTGAATTCTATTATTTACGTAGTGTAGAATCTATCTAGATAACACTGTAGATAGCATTGTCATGAATTTGAGTTCAGTGGATGTTTTTTCTCTCTTTGACATTTAAAATTCATTTCTTATTATCAGTCATTCCTGTGATTGTCGGTAAAACATTTTGACAAGTAAAATCGGCTGGATTTCAATTCAAAATTAGTTTATCGCAAGTCGCTTACAAAAAGATAAAAAAGGGAAAAAATCGTTTCAATCGTTTTTTAGAACGGTAATCGTTTCAAAGGAGAGGCAATGACTTTCAGTATTTTAGCCGCAGGTGAAAATTCACCAATTACCGCAAATTTACCAATGAGCCAAATTTCTTAAGTGCCATTTTGTGAAACTAATCTGTTTGAATTGAAATTGTTCTATGCTTGCCAAACTAAATCCATTTTAAATGGCTGAGCCTTTGGGCTCGATAGCATGTGCATGCTTGATTGCGTGTGCAAAGCATGTTTTGATTGAGAGAATCATTAAACAATTATGCGTACACTTGGCCATTTAACTTCTGTGCCTTCGTAATTACTTTGAAATTGAGTGGTCTTTTGTCATTGAGATTAGAGTTTGCTCTACACTGATGTTGATGTCATTGTTGTCTCGTTTCATGTTCTTGCTTGTGTTGTTGTTTGTTATTGATGTTCAAAGTTTTGCAAAATTGTCACACTCGTATACATATTACACACATCGATTATTCATTTACCTTCGTAGGCCTGGGCTGTGCTTTTTTGCCGATGAGGTTATCACCATGGATGATTCGTGCGAACAATTTCCTCGTATTTGATGCCATGAGATATTCTCACGTGATTGATGATGACAACTTGATGGACATCTTGTGCTTGGCGTTCCTTGCGAATTTATGTACACCTCAACTAAATTATTAGCTGCTCAACCGTTAAAATGTATACAAACACATAGATTGAAATGGATGAAATAAATGAAATAGAATTACATGAGATGATGATAGTGCATGAAATTGGCTAAGCTTGTTGATTTAATCTATACGGCTTAGTAACAATATGATAGGTAATTTTGCGGTATTCCATTTTGTGATGTATAAAGACTTTCATAATGCTGTTTGCAAAATTGATTTCATATGCGCGTCGATTACAGCGAATGGTTTAAATTCACCGGTGTGTAATATTTCAATACCCGGACATACACATCAAAATATGACACAGAATGATATGCTTTAATTACAATATGAGTGCTTGATGATTTACCGCTTCTGATAAATGTATTAATAAAATTAGACTTTGCCCGTAGCATCTGTTAGAGAAGAAAAATTCACACAAAGTGTTTTGTGTGTAGGTATGAAAAATTCTCATCATCATCGTCTTCCCAAAATGGGAAGAAAAATTTGCAAAGATTATGTTATCATCGTCATTGTGATGTGTATTGCTCTTTTTATTAAATTTCGTGCGGGCATTAATAAAAGACGGTATATGTTGGTATACCATATATGGCGCTTGAAATATGCCATTTGTGTGTATAAACACAAACATGAAGTTGATGTAAAAAACATCATGTTGAAGAACATTCGTTCTTATGTTCTCGACTGTAGCATCTTTCACTTTGATGATGGCAAAAATGATGTGATAAATATGTTGTCACACGATTACTGTGTTTTCCGCTTCCCCTCAACCGCCCGCTTTTCCAACGAAATTCCGGCACATTTTGCCTTTTAACAATATTGAGCTGTTTAATTACGGATCAAGAAAATGTAAAACATGTGTTATAATTTGCATATCCATAACACAAAACTTCATTTACCATATAAAATACGGCTAAAATAATATTCACACACCACCATCACCTAACCGCACAAAACCTATTTTTCGCAAAATATACTGTCGTCAACATGCACCATCATGAAGAGTTTTATCGTTTGAAATATATGAACAAAATGACGGGGGTAAACTGAATACGTACATGATTGTGTTGAATCAAAGGCAAGATGTTTTTTCAATACTTTTTCGGTGCGCATCCCCTGCCACAGTGTTTGTGTGATTAGCGAATATGTTGCTGCCAGCATAATCAAGGGCACTACTAATAAAATTCCATCGAGAAATAGATTGTATGCACGCTCATAATTGCTTGAATTTTCCGGCCAATCTTCACGGCATTTATGATGACCTAATTGTATTATTGTGGGTGCAACAATGTTAAACATGTCATTTTATATCATAAAAGTGATTATTGTTATATTGATGAAGGATAGAATGGGAGATACATTGATTACAAAATTACTTACCTTGACTGGTCGGAATGAGACGACTAAGCACTGCAATCGGTGACATAAACAATAAGCTGCCACACCAAATTAATACTATTAACTTGTATGCATGGCTTAGGGTTTGCCAACGTCGGCTCTTTAGTGGATGACAAATGGCATAAAAGCGCTCCACACTGATTGCAACCAGTGTCCATGCTGAAACGGATACCGATGAAGCTATTTGCATCAAAGAAACGTATTAAGCAAAAATTAATTATCGCACATTTTATAGTTTTAACATTGAAATTTGTTCGACACTAATGTGTCGCTTTAATGCAATTTGCTTCAACATCATGAAACTATCCAATTTGCTCAGTTGACCGTGTCACACAAACTTTTGTAATCGTACCATAAAACGGTACAACAAAAAAATAGTTTTTGACACTTTGATGAGATTTCAACCGATTATCTAGCTAAATTGTCAACATTTCAAGTGAAGGGTTTAAAAAAGTGGTCTTATTCCCGAACAATTACATTTTGAGAATTTCAACGAAACAAGAGAAAATGTGAAAATCCACTTAAAAACTATCTCCAAGTTTATAAGTGATGTTGATTTTACAAAACCGATGCTTTTATCATTTTCATACTAAATGTGTATGGTGTGTATGTGCATGTAAATATAAAATCTATGTCAAAATTTAAATTTTCATCCAAAACTATTGCTAAAACTACACTTTTGGAAAATATTTTGAGGTAAGGTTTTCTCGGTTATTTGTTTATATTGGCAACATTCTTATGAGAAAGAAGATAAAAGCATGTTGAATCTGTATATACATAAAAAAAAAACATAAAATACAAGTGAAATTGCTAAATCATGCTGAAAAGTGGTCACAAAATGAGTGCCAAGAAAATTGTTTCATTATTTCTCAATTTATCAGAAATTGTAAAAGGGAAATAATAAACGACTTTCCAAATAAATCCATTTCAATCAAATATTTAAAACAAAATCTTAATTTAAATATATTTATATGCAAAGGTAATAGCTAAATGGTTATGCATTTTCCCGGGAAATTGCTTCTTTTTGATGAGATCACAAATATTTTATTTTGCAAAGGGAAATACTTTCGAATCTGAAGCGCTTTATTTTTTATTTAATATCCCAAAGCGCTTTGCACGAGTCAAACGACGAGAGTGAAAACTCGGCACTTTTTTTGAGCTATGAGAAAATGAAGCAAAGATGCAGGTGCAATAATGCAAACAAAAACAATCAAATATCTTGGAAAAACGGAATGTTGTTTTTATTGTGCACGCGCTGATTGTCAAAGAAGAAAAAGCACCGCATGAATGCGAAATAAAAAGTCGAAAGAGCAAAAAGATTTAGCAAAGCATCAAGTACTTTTGTGAAAGACAGAAAGTAAGCGGATTATCGTTTAACATTGAACCGGGTTGGTATTACATTGTTTGGTTTTTGGAGTCATCATACAGACATAATCTGTCATCTGTGTAAACATTGGTTCATCAATCATTTTGTGTAAGTCAGAACCCTTTGTACATTTGATCATTACATGCACAACGTGAGTTGTGAATTTATCCGAAAATTGATCTAATTGTAATTGTTGGGCGTGATTGAGAGTGTTTGTGAGGTGTTATAGAGATGAAAGGTAGGTTGAAGCATGATTTCCGATCATGCGACCAACACTTTAGTAGTGAATGTTTTGATATTCATTGATTAAATCCATCAAAATACTTTGCCGTCTGCTCATGAACTCGTCCATATTCGATGAATTTGTTGTGTATCACGTGACATTTTACGTGTTGTCGATTTGATTGATGGCTTCAATGAGTGGTTAAACGATCAATATATAGGGTTGAGCGTGCATAATACGTGCACTGCATCGAATTATTTCTTCAGTGTATCGCCATCAAAAACGACAGAATTTACATTGGCACGTGCTTGAAAATTCATTTTGCTATATGTTATCAGAGTCAACAAATCATCTCATGACATCGAGCGAAAAACATGATCACGATTTGAGCTAAAAAACGTACAAAATAAAAATTGAAAAGTTGATTTTAAATCTCTGCTCGAAAAAGGTATCTGCTTAAGGAAAAACTTCCGTTTTACGTGTATGTCATTTAACGTCAGAATAAATCCATGTCATTTTTTATAGGAAATAATCTTTCGAGATTTTTCCGCTATGACATCCCCTCTTAAATTGAGAACAACCATCATTGTTTTTTCTTCTCACAATTCGATTTTAATGAAATTCGTATTGAAAACAAAAATCGAACAACTAAATATGAATAATTCACGTGGGGATTTGAATGGGCTTCCGTTTTTTTACAAAAAAATCAATTTTTCGCCCTAACCGATTAAATGATGAGAGGTATATTTATGCGATTGAAGTGCTCTAGGTCTAATCTAATTTAAGGCGATTTTCCTTTGAGTTGCTTCTACTCCATTTAGTAAATGTTCGACCCTTTTCACAATTAGTGTGAGAAAAAGCAAATGCAAACAAATGGATTTCATTTGTCAGTACGTTAAGATGTTGAGCCGTACTTTTTCATCTTTTTCATTCGAAATATTGAACACGTTCTTGCGATTCCATTTGGCCGATTGTTTTTAGCAATTGCTTTATTTCATTAGATTTGAAAAGTGAAAATAGAAAAAAATGGGGCAAAACAATCAGTGCGGAAAGATCTGGCTTGTTGGACGTTTTTTTTATTTTACTTTATTTCGGATATGGAGCGTTGAATTCGGTCGAATTTATCTTAGTCCTTATTTAGAGTTTGCAAATAAGTGACGACAACCAGTCCGAATAAAATGTGTACTTTTTTGTTTTCAAATTGTACGATATTTTAAACAATTTTTCGTAGTAAATTTACTATACAAATGCTCCATTTTCGGCCACAATAATGCTTAACAGTTGCATAACATGTGCTTGTGTGAACAGTTACTCGTAACTTTTTTGTTCTTATTACATTTGTGCCGCTGTGTTCCTTAAAACAATTTCCATTGAGTACATTTTATTTTCGCAGTTTTTTGAATTTTCATCCCTGCTGCGTACGCTTTTTTTGTAAAGAAGGTGGAATTTTTCGCCGAGCGTAAGTGACACTTCTTTTATCTTTTCAATTCAAACATTTTCTTCTGACCGTTGTTTTGACTCTGGAGAGAGCAGACGCCCGAATTTTTAATGAATTTTATTCAGTTGTTTAACGTGTTGTCACGGAACATAAGTGTTACTTTGTATAATTTCACTTATTCAATGCTCGTAGCATTTGCAAATGGACGATTTAATCCAAAAGATCACAGAAGCGCTTTGGTTCACACTCGAACGCTTCTTGGCAACAATGTTTCGGCCAATGTTAAAATAATTCAGTACCCCGGAAAACATTGTCAATTTTAGCCTTGTTAAATTCTAATTTATTTAAATACACATTAATCATTTCCAGATGCTGTAAATTGGCTATGAATTAAGAGTATATGCTTGAACGAAATTTGAACTGAGGTCGGAAATTGACCGTTGACACATAATATTCCACTTTCTGGTCGGATTTAATTTAATGCCAAAGTGGTGCTGTATCAAATTCAAATTATACGTCCAAGACACTTAAACTTTGTAAATATTCGACTTTACGGCGCCATGGCATCCATTTCATGTATTTCTAATATCAATATTTCTCCAACAATATGAGCGGTGGTGAAAATGTGTAGGTTTCCAATTGAAAATGAATGATATGGAAAATGGCTGTTGGTGAATGCTTATAAGGAAAAATTGCTTTCAAACATTTAAAAATCAATATGGCACATGTTCCACTTGAAAATCATCATTTTTTGTAAATATTCTATTCTGCAATAGACAATGTTTGATAGAAAGATGCTGATATGTTAACATAAGTTTTAATCAAATATATTGTACGTCTATTTATATTTTGATGTAGCTCGTCAATTTAATTCTTCTGTCAATTCATAAAAGTGAAGATTCTTTTGTTCATGACTCTTGTTATCGTTTCGTTGTGCAAAGAAATAAAGGGACTTGAATAATAAATAGAACACAATGTTCGTTTTTAACAAAGCAGTAAAAATGGCTTCAGTTCCAGGCCACCATCCACATCTCATTGTAATGGTGAAATCGTAATAGATAAACGTTATAAATACGCTCTTATGTTCGCGCAATTTCATCAGCAGGGAAGCATCTACACGACATACGAAGGCAAGATTGAAAATGGCAACACGTCCAATATTTCATAAAGCTTAAAGTCATTCATAAAATTTAAAGAAATTTGCTCATTGCCGTCGTCCTAGTGTAAGGTAGAACGCGTTCACGCAATCAAACACCCCTTAAAAAATGTTAAATATGGTGCACACACTGTACGAGGTAACCCATCAAATCGCGAAATTTATTCAATGTCATTTCCTCTTAATTTTTAGCAAATTTATTTATTTACATCATTTTTTACGGTCGTTCCGTTGTACGCATTATATGCATATTGCCACCAATGTGTTTGCCAAGCGCACACGACACACACACAGCTGTAAAACTCATCTTGGCTCGCATGCTGCACATGGCCATAAATTATGCTGTTTCTATCATTTTTTGTTCGTTATATCTCCGCATGTTGGTGATTGTGTTCATTTTTTTTTCTCGTCGGTTTGACGCTACATTGTGATATATTTTTCGTTGTTGTTGTTGAGAAAAAACTAAAATAAATGGAAAAGTCGTTTTACGAGAATTCAATTCTGTATCCGACACATTTTGTTATCCCAAAACCGAAAAAAAAAATTGTATATAAACGGCAAAACTTTATCTGTCTATTTTCAAATGAAAACGAAAAGTTGGCCACACACTTAACAAAAAGCAAAAACTTTTGCCCTCATTGCCACAACGATTTTTGCCAGACAACATGAATGCAATGTCAAAAAGTACATGGTGCTTGAATGTGAATTATATATATATAAGTCTTTGTGACGTTTCTACTCAGTCGAACACACAATGTGTGCAGCATTGAGAACTAACAAAAAAATCAAGCGCTCACACACAAACGGAGCGTACAATGTGGCTTTGTTAGGCTGCTGCGAAATTATCTTAACACACCAGAATTGATGTGAACGCTCACGCGGCAAATACACGCATTATACTCTTTCTTTTCATTTTTACAGTTTCGTCTGTGTGTGACGAATGGCAATTCATTGGCCTGGATTATGGTGCTTTAGAAGGTAGTCGAAACAAAGAAGGATCATTTCATGACGAATGTTGAGAGAAAAAAAAGAACAACAACCCAAAACTTATAAACATAACACAAAACAATGTCGCCCGTGTTTTTCGATGTTAACAAAACAACACACCAGAGAATCAACGGAGACTCAGTGATTCGAAATAGTAAAATTATATATATATATACTTATAAATGAAAAGAACACCCGAATATTGCCAACTCAATATATTGTCAGATTAGATCTAAGTAACGGTTTTAAAAACAGTACATTGATAGAGATTATGAGGCACGAGAACAAATGCAAGCTTTTTTTGCTGACTAAACTTCACTTCAAGTTATGATGAATTTTGTTGTTCGCATTTGTTTCCAATTTTTTTTGCTGCTTGGATCCGTTTTTTGTGCATTATTATTTGGCGTGCAGGGTCTCTGCAAGATACTACGGCGCTCTGGTGTTACCAAGAAAATTGGGTCCTATTATTTTTCTTTTGAAATGTCCGCAGTGCAAATTGATATCAAAAGCTATTTGATGCTATTTTTTAAATAAAGAATTGCTTTAAAAAAATTAACACAGCCAATTTGTACATCGCACAGCAGGTCTGAATTTATAAAGAACGACACCGCTAAATATACTGCCACCCTGACTCTCATCGCTAATTTTTTATTTTTTTTTTATTGACTATGAAATTTGACGCAATGATAAAAAATGTCCACGGGTAAACGTGTCGGATGAAATTGGTATTTTCAAAATTTTAATGAACCACCCCTTTGACGTCATAGGCAATACAGATACATTTTTCACATTTTTATAAAAATGCACAGTAAACCGATGTAAAATATAAATATCAGTTGAAATTGGAAATTCAGTCAATTAAAACTTCAATTAAATACTAAATTGAAAATAAATCGTCGAATTCAGTTTGGAATAATAATGTTGCGATTTATCATACTTTATCTGTGCACAACTGTGTTAAGCGTGGTGATTAGCAATGAACAATATAAAACGGTAAAAACAAAAAGTGGTTTAGTAAGAGGCTTGCGGCAATATACAATTTGGCATGAAAAACCATTTTACTCTTTTCGGGGAATACCATATGCAAAACCGCCAGTTGGTGAATTGCGATTCAAGGTAAAAACCTCAATTTTTTGAAACAAAAATATTGGTATATCATAAATAAACCACATGCTCTTGTTATGATGGAATAGGCAACTGAACCAGTTGATCCGTGGTCAAATATAATCGATGCCTTTGAGTATCCACCCAGATGTTCTCAAAGATATAAAAGTTCACGTCCAACGAGCGAAAATTGTCTTTTTCTAAACATATTCGTGCCAGGTGAATGCGAGATCACACATTTGAGTTTTACACTAATATACTTACAGAATCGGTAGAATTTACAGTTTATTCATCTGTCAACACATCTGTCAAACAGCTGTGCTGAATTTTATAGATTCTGTTATTGTATTAACGTAGATTTTCTCTCTGTAGTGAACACCGAAGATTCAAAGAAATGTTATTTTCATACGTTTCGTTGTAGATTTGAAAAGAACGATAAATCTAGCGGTATTGTTATATTTTCATGGTGGATTTTTCGCTTCTGGAAGTGGTGACGATAAGGGATTTGGGCCCGATTTTATGATTGAACATGAAATCATTCTCGTTACAATGAACTATCGACTTGGTATGCTGGGATTCATGAACTTGGGTATTCCAGATTATTCGGGAAATATGGGATTGAAGGATCAGCAAATGACATTGGAATGGATCTATAAAAATATCGAAGCTTTTGGTGGCGATAAAAATAAGATCACTATTGGCGGAAGCAGCGCAGGCAATATATAAATATTTTATAGTTATCCAATCATCATATCTTCATATGGGTTTGTATTCTTAAAGGCGGACGATCTGCTGGTTTTCATTTGATAAATGACGAATCATCAAAATATTTCAATCAAATGCTCAGTATAAGCGGCACACCAAATGGAATTTATAATTATCAAAAGGGCGATCATCGATGTCTGGCGAAGATTTTTTACGATAAATGTACAAGCACAATTTCAAATAAAATGTGGAGATTGTTTGGTTTGGAAAAGACCAAGGGTAAGTCGGAATTTATAATAAGTGAGATCGCTTTTTGAAGTAACTTATTTATCACTAGAGCCACCCAGCGACGAGGAATTGGTTGATTTTCTTAAAAATGTTGACGTTGATAAAATCACGGATTTCACTAGACAAACTACCAATGACCTGTTTTCACCATGGTCTCCAATAGTCGAAAGTAAATCATCTTTTCTCTTTTTTGAAAAAAAAAAAATCAAATTACAAACATTTCAGAATCAAATGCAAAACATCCGTTTCTGCTGGAAGATCCAATGAGTAAATTACAAAAGACGAAAATTAACAAAACGGCCTATTACACGTTCGCTGAATTTGTAAGTTTTTTAGGAGACGAGCATCAAATAAAGAAACTTGATAACACCTAACTTATATCTTCTCAGGAGTATATAATTTTAATACATTCCAACGCAAGTTATTCTAAAGATATAGGGACAATTCATAGAAATGCTCATGTTGAAATCCCAATTTTCGGACACAGAACTTTGTTTAGGAAGAAAGTGAGTAGAACATGAAATCTCTTCCACAATAAAATTGAGTTTAACAATTCTCTTACAGCGTTCCTATCTTGAGGATGTATTCAAACGAATACGTAAATTTTACTTTAGCAATGCATTGACGGACGAAGAAAAGTTAAGACAGCGTCTCATCATGGATTCAGATTATTATTTTGTTTATTTTATCGAAAAATGGGTGGAAAAACATGTTGCTGTTTCCAATAAAAAAACCTTTTACCATCGGTTTGTTCTCATCAAAAAATCACTTTTAGAAACAAAAATGAAATTTGGCTCATTAGATTTTCAGCACACACCATACTAAATCCACACAACATCTTTGAAGGTGCTAGCCACGGTGATGAGACATTTTATTTATTTCGGTATTTTTTATTCATGCAAATTTTCAGATTTTCGTACAAAAATTGAATTAATATAAAAATGTTAAATTTTCGTAGATGTCGCGATTATAATGACTTATACAAATATATATTCAATCAAGATAACAGCAATACTACGATTGCTTCTGGAGTGATGCATAATTTGCAAATGTTGATTACCAACTTTGTGAAAAATGGGTAATTTATTACTGTTCGTTCTTGTGATTATCCGCAAACAATATAGTTTAGCAATATCTCTTTGCTTCTTCGCATGTGCGATCTTTTGGATTGATTGACGTTTTGTGACAGTAAATATCTTTATTTCAAAACACCTTAATAATAGAAAACCACTGAATAACGGAGATCCTGATGAGTACTTTCTCCCAGTTCGTCGTTCGAGCGAAGCTCATCAATTTCATTGTATCGATGTGACAAATGATGGAATAGTACATGGATTAATTGGTCCAAATGGTAATAGAACTAAAATACTGGACAATATTGTGGAAGAAGTAAAGATATTGATTGAAGAACATGGAGACACAATCACCAAAACACCAATTGAACAGCAGTGTGATGAAATAATTGGTTGGTAAAAGATGGCACTTATTTTCTTAATAATTAAGTAAAATAAGTTGATGCCTGATTTAATATGATGGAAAATTAACTAACAAAATTTTCTTATATACTAATATTGTATTGGAGCTCATAAATAAAATCAAAATTAAATAACCTTCTTTATTTTATTATGGAATTCATCAGTGAGTGTATGACAGCGTTCATTTCACAAATGTTGAATAAATGAATATCAATAAAAAACAACATTATTTAAATTCAAGAACAAATTCAGCATATTTTGCGCTGCAAATTGGGCACTCAGATGTGAATAGGGCCCTGGTAAGCCATGTCGTTCGGTCTTTTGGCTTTTTTTCACTTTCTTTTTCGCCATCACCGTTCTTCTATGCGAACTGCCGAACTTTATAAACTTTATACTACCGAATGAATTCATTCCATCAAGCGAAAAATGTATTATTAGGGTAATGTGCTCAACGTACCAGTGATATATGGGACACTTTCCGTTTGGCATACAGATTAGAATGAACTCGCTTTCGCAGTCTGTTGAAGGCATTTTTATGCCACATACGTACTACGTATCCATGATGCACGCTTCCATGAACTCTATATCGATTCGATGTGAAGCGTGAAAATTGAACGAACAACAAACAAAATTCACTGACTGCAACACAGATAAATCTGACGCGTCGAAATTGAATTGATGTGTAGTTTGGCTTACACAAGAAAGCACACTCTCGCATTTGACAGCTACTTTTCATTCATTCTCATCAGCTATGCTGCTGTTGATGTTTGCTGGAGTTCATCAACATATCATTCATGCATTTTTTTTTATTCATAATTTTTTGTTTTTGACATTCTCATAATTATATTATTCTTGAAAGTATAAAAATATCAACTGAAACTTTTGTTTTCATTCATATTTTTTTGTTTTTATGAATGATTAACATCCAAACAATATAACGTTGAACAAACAAAAACTCATGAATGAATTATACACTTCATTATTTTTGGTTTAATGAAAATAAACTTCCGTTCTGAAATGTCCATAATTTGGTTGGCTACCCACGTTAAATGAATGCAGACGTTTCCTCCAGCTAAGAAAATTAGTTTGAACCCATAAGTCACACAAATAACATACTTTTTTTTGATATGGCAGATCCTTGTCTACCATTAGATATTTAAATTGGGCGTCGAATTGTTTTCTTTGGCCATTAAAATGACGGTTGATTTGTGTGTTTGCGCTTATTGGCTTTTATTTATATTTTGTGCAAATTTCCATGGTGACAGCAGTCACAATGCGAAAATCTTCCAACAATCGAAATCAAAACAATACACAATTTCACAATCCATTTCGTTATCATTTCCTTGTGAATAAATGTGAATGCTTAATTTGTGTCATCATTTTGGAATGTTCGTTGATTCAGCACCATTTTGTACACAAATGACATAGCGACATTACCATTTTCTTGACGTTTAATTTCATTGAATTTGAAATTAAAGACGATAAATTTCGGCTGTTGTGTCATTCGAACATATTATTCGTAAACTAAAGCCGTTACCGAGTCAGCTATTTATCAAATGACATTCAGATTAACAATCACACAAGCCGAATGACAAAGATGGTGTCATTGAAATTTCGTTATTTATTTTATCAATGAGATAAACAATTGGCTTCTATTGCTCTTGTATCTCTTATTCTCTAACTTTCGAAGAAAAAAAAAGAATATGAAACGTCGATAAGCTTGATTGGTAAACTGTTTATTTTTTAGATGACAGCGATTTGATTTTCAATGAAAAGTGAATGGGAATTTGAGTAATCCCATTGAAATATTTGTTTCGACTTTAAACAATCCTGGCTAACAACATGCTAAACGAATTACATCAACTTGTGTAATCCACTTGAAAAATCGATGTTTTTTGATTTCGTCAAAAGACAAAACACTCGGCATTTAATGGATTTGGTATTAATAAATCAAAAAAACAGACACATTGAACACGAACGGATACAATTAAAGTCGAAAATTGGTTTTTGAAGTGGATATTGATCGGTCGCTACTTTTAGCACAATTATTGTATTTATGAGCACACAATTGATTTTTCGGCAGCAATATTCACAAAAATCGATTATGAATCGTATCAAAAACGACAAGTACGCTTGTACCGTTGTTCGAAATGGATTCAATTAATTAGGATGCTCGAATTAGAATGCAGTTGCTTGTAAAAGCGCATTTGAAATATTTTCCCACCGTAAGTAATCGTGCCAAATTTAATTGCAACTTTGTATAAACGTAGAAGTTTCTGAATTCCCAAATATGACTGTTGAAAATGTTGGCACAGAATAGAATAGCAAGCAACGCAATTTGACTGCATCAATCAAATTGAGAAATTACTTGTTTTTCTGTTGCCACAACAAACTTGTCTCTACACAGTGAGATATATTTGAGTAAGGTTACTCCGATGTTCGGAGTTAGTAGAGCGTCTACCCCTCAAAATGAGTTAAAAGAGTATGATTCACACCGGTATTGGTGTAATATGCGTAAGTCGCTTGTAATCGATCTAAATGAATAGCGGCGACGCATGAAAACGAAGTGAGTGAATAGCAGCAAAGGAAGATATTTTGTTTTTATGCATTGCCGCTATTTCTAAGTGAATTGCTTACAAGCGACTTACGCGTGTAACACCAATACCGGTGTAAATCATACTCTTTTAACTCATTTTGAGGGGTAGACGCTCTACTAACTCCAAACATCAGAGTAACCTTACTCAAATATTTCTCACTGTGTACGCTGACCCATTTCAACATTTTCAATTTAAATCAACACATTTCACAAAGCCAATTTATATTTTAATTATTTTGTAGCCGTATTTTCCACTTTCATTCGTTTTGCTTTCTGGAAAAATCAATGTTTTTTAACTTTATTTCAAGCTCATAGTAACAACAGTATAACTGTTACGGTAACGTAAATTTTGTGTACAATTTAAAATCCGCCACCCGCAAATATATTTCGAGCCGTAACTTTTGTTCTGGTTGTACTCTTCTCCGAATATTTTTCTCGGGTGTTGATTGAATTTAATTTCCAAAATAAAACTTTTAATCGGAAAGCATTTAATTTAGAATTTGGAATTAAGCACAAAGAGCCGATTTAACATTTTAAAACACAAAAGCGCTCGAAATAAAAAAAAAATGCAGAAAATATTGTGAGAAAAATGGTGAATAAATACGCACTGAAATATAATTAAAATATTCAGATACATGTTAATAAACTTACCTTGTAAATACGGCAACAGTTTGCACATCAATTCGCCGAATACAAAGTCCCGCAAAAGTGTGCCAACTAAATGTACAAATAAATGGTAATGAATTCATTGTTATTGGATATTAAATTGTGGATGCCCACTGAAATTGGCTATTTACCGAGTGTGAATGGCATACAAAAAATGCCTAAGAGGATATCCGAAACGGCTAAATTTAATAAAAATACATTTGTTATGGTTCTCATTCGACGATTTTGCACCAGTGTCATAATAACCAGTGTATTTCCAACTATTGCTAATAACAGAATTGTTGCGTATAAAGGTATTTGAAGGTTTGCACTCGAAAGCAAATCCGCCAATGAGTTGGCCGTTGCATTATTTGTAGTAACATTTGGTGTCGTTGCAATCATGGTTGTTGTTGTTGTTGCAGCGGTTGTCGGTATACTATTGCTGCTGCTAACACCGTTTGTGGATAAATATTGTTGTTGAAGGTGGTGTTGAGGCAAAACGGATGATGCACGATAGAACGTTTCATTATTATCGTTCGACCAGGTGACGTTTTGTAAAAATGGAATAAAAGTTGCAGTCTCATTTGGCGTCATCGCTTTTTATGTATTTTCCTAACTTTCTCTCTGGTTTTGATGTCGCGCGCTCTCTGTATCGCTCGTATTAAACCTCAGAGACGAGAATCCATCAAAATTACTCGCACATAAATTGTACGCGGTGTTCATACAACATGTTGCAAATGTTTTAGTTTCGTATCGTTGGCAAGTTTCGTTTCATTCGTTCGTTGGTTCGTCTGTTTGGTTGCAGAATTGATGGCAACAGTGCAAGTGTATTTGCGGTCGAAACAAGTGCTGAAATGAGAAATGGAGACGATTAATTATACGTTTCATGCTATATAGTGGGCAAGTGTGTGTGTGTAATGGTCGATGTATACATCCATACGGATTTATGGATAGAGAAAATGTTTGAAAATTAATCAGCATTGTTCCGAGGTCAAATACATACATATCTGATGTGTAGGAAGCAAAAACCGAAAGCAAAAATATTATCCAATTTGAAGTGAGAACCAATAGCTAGAAATCCATTAAAAAAGGGAAATTGCAAATGCCAAAGACCTTTCACAAAATAATTTGCGCACTTTATTTCGCACGCAAAGAAGACCCCAACAACAACAACCCAATCCCAGCGTACACCAATCGGATCATACAACAAACGGAACAAAAGATTTCACCATAAAATTATATGTTCAATGAAAATGATCACATTTCCATTCAGACAACGCCAGCTCTTTACAGTCTATTAACATGCAACCCATGATGGGAGGCAGAACGACACAGAAAATGAATAAGAGGGGAACAATAGAGATAAACACAGACAGACAGAAAGAGAGGAAGAGGAAGAGAGAGAGAACATAATAGAAAGGAAAAAAATGGAAAAGTGCTTTTGAATAAATCGACAGAATATCGATTTGTGAATAGTTTAACACGATGCTCAGCTCAACTAGATGCAATTTAAATAAATTATAGTGATTTTGTTCGCACGAAATCTATTTTGTTTGATGTTGATTCGATAAAATGGCTTGCGGAGCTTTGTTTCGAAAAGCTTATCAATTATATGCTTTTGAGTCGAACGCTCGTAATCAACAATATAAAATGACGAAAAGAAATGAATGAAATGAAAGGAGGAGTCAATGTTCCACTGTTCTCGCTCATTCAACTTTTAAGCTATCGATTTTTGTGTTGATTGCAACACATACAACGAAAGAGGAAGAAAGAGAATGAACAAGAGAAAAAGAGAGAAGAAAAAAAAGCGAAAATGTTTGAAAGAATTACATTTTCTGTGTCGCACATCCTGTCAAATGATCCTAAAATCAAGTAGCAACAGAAATAAAAAAGGACAATGTGAAAAAAGCGCTATCAACATGAACTATAAATTATTATATATACGCAACTGTGAAGTTTTGAATTATATTCGAGTATCGCATAAAACTTGTGCTGTCTTAGATACAGTTCAGAATTGACGTTGAAAAACCATTGTTTAACACTGGTGGCAAAGACTTCCTTCCATCGCAACACTAATCCGTGTCATACCATGGATTTCACATGCAACCAAACATTGAGCTTTCCAACACATTCATACAACCACTGACTCACTCTCGCCCCGCCACGCCAACAGAATTAAAAGCATTTTCAATAACAGCACATCCGGGACAGAGTAGAAGAATAGACAAAAATATGTACAGAGAGGGAGAGAGAGGGCACCACCGAAAGCTCATCACTCACATGATAGCATGTACAGCGTGTGCATGCGAAGCGACAGAAGGAGTTTATGTAGCGTATCATTGGTAATAAATATAAAATGTTTTTCACTCTCTCGATTTTCTACGCTGTCGTTTTATCTTCGTTCACAAAAAAAGCAAGAAAGAAAACATTTTTCTTCGAAATATTTGCCAGCCAAGCATACCATGCATCCAAGGATGTTCCAAGTGAATTCAATAAAAAGGGAAATTCCGCTATTTATTCAAATCGTATATGAACTTTGAAGACTAAAAAAAGAAAACAATTTTCAATCGCATTATGCATGCGCAATGAGTGATTCGGCACTGATCGAATAGAAACATCGTCTTCCTCGGTGATGACGCCGACACCATTCATAATCGAGGCTTATTCATTCCGTAATAAATCACTTAAAGGATTTTCTATCCAATGCAACAGAGAACTCTGAGAGATTCCCAGACGAGAAAGAGAACTCTCTAACTAAATTCAGTTAAATTGTTTGTTTTTTTTTTTTGCAGAGATGAAATGCATTTGAAGAATTTAAAAGTGCAGGAGAGTTGAGTCTTTTTCGTTTTGTGTGAAACGGCAAGTCATTAAATTCCAACATTGATTGCAAAATTGAAGAGTACATTTGCAAAATAAACGACCATTAAATGAAGAGCTTCTCAAATAAAATCGGTATTTCGGTCATTTGCAATGGCATTGTGAGTGTACTGTATTGTTGTTGTTATTTGTTAATTCTCTTTGAAAATTTGAAATGCAATCAAACTGGGAAAAATAGCATTTCCAAGTGTCTTTTTATCTTTTTCACTATCAATTGTCTTCCGGCTATGAGAAGCATCATTTCATTTTCTTCAGCGTTAAATTCGTTTGTTGAATTTTAATGAAATTTCCATCATAGCGTCTGAATTAAATATGACACATTCGGATTGCGAATGGTTCTCATTTTCGGATTCTAAATAATGACTGAAACATGATTCTCAATTCACTTTGATGCTTTACAACTATCGAACAAATTTCCATTTGGTTCATTGTGCCAGTTCAAGTCGATTGAACCACGACCGATGAACAAGAACGAAAAAAATCAGTGTGTCACACGGTTATCAACTTTTCTGTTCTCGCTATTGAAAGCCAACGCAAAATTGAAGTGCATTCGAATTTTCTTTTCTTGTTCCTTCATGCATTTTTCTTGTTCTTCGGTCTGCATCGCCTCAATTCGCATTCCAAATGATTCGTTGGCTTTTAGAAAATCCAACGATCAGTATTCAGTTCATATTACATGATATTGCTCCATTCAATTTAAGTAAGCAAAAAGTGACTGCATTCACTGTTCGTTTCGTCCCGGCACCACTTCATGTTCACACCATCACGCACACACACAAAGTTTATTTCTTTATATCATTAACTTTGAGTGAAGAAAATGAAAAGAACCGAACAGAATAGTGCTTCATTTGAAATGGCCAACGGATGTTTTGGGTCAATATCGACTTCGACGAACAATTAGTTTTAATTTGCTTTGTTATGAAAACATATTGAGATAATAAAGTGCTTGAAAAAAAAAATCGCATGACAAAAAAACAGAACAACAAAAGATGAGCAAAGTTCCAATCGATGTATCATGTTTCGCTTTAGTTCTGGAAATGAAGAACATAAAAGAAGAACGAAAAAAAAGTCGAGCAACATTCAACATCGTTTATCTAGCTCAACGCACCAAATGCATCCAACTCCATTATCTCATTGTGCAGAAGAATTGGTTTTATTTTTCAGTGTAACATCACGATAAATTCGTCTCGCTTTCACTCACTTAAATGCTTTGAATTGCGCGTTGTTACGTGACCAAATGTGTTTCACACCATGAAATTTTAACATTGCGTCAGAGCAGTTACATTTTCCATAATCATTATCCAACGAAAAACGATTTCAAATCGGAGGGAAGAATGAAGATTCGAGAAAATATAAGCAAAACAAAAACATTTGTTGAACAAAAAACATCAACGACTTTTTTTTCGATATCGAGAATCTCGATTCACTATCTCAGTCAGAGTTAGAATAACAATAATGTGTTTATTGATTAAATGATCAAAAATGTTTGACAATACAACACTCAATTGGTCTAAATACATTTAAGCATTTTTTTTTTTCGGTAACCAACTGCTGTACAACATGAACTGTTTTTATTCCTTTCAACAGATTGAAAAGAGAAGGAGTGTGTGGGTGGCAAAAAAGACATAACAATTATATTAGAATCAAGTGCGGTATGTTGACGGTACAAATGTTTCCAAGCGCACAAACGCTTAATGTCGACAAAATGCGAGAAAATCCAAAATCTCAAGAACATTATTTGTAAGTGGAACAATGGAATACAATTAATCTCATGCTCATCAAAAATGTTCTAATCGATTTTACGTGTTTATTTTTATTTTATTTTGTTGCCATGCCAAACGCTGATTTCTGATTGTTTTTCGCTGCACGCGCTCTGCGAATTAATTAATTCACAAAATTCCTGCTTTTATTCGGTTTTATTTGACCATGATATGAGCAATTGACGAAAGCCAATGGAATATTATCCGATAATAAATTATTTCTCTTTCAATAGTATTCGCTATGTTAATTTGTTTACTGTAGGCGTACATAAGCCCAATAAGATAAAATCAGATGTTGTGCCTTTCAAGTGTTTATCCATTCCGTGTGCAGTATACGGACCATCGTTAATTTATTTTACCCAAGTATAAGAAAACTTTCATAAATTCAATGGATTTCAAAGTTAACGTTACTATCAAGATAATAAAATTCTAGGTAAATTCATAGAAAAACTTCAATCATAAACAACATCGATCAAGTTTACGAATTCGAATAAATTTCCACATGTCTCAAATAACTAGACCGTTCTTTTTCAATAAAAAATGTTGTCCGCTATCGATATCTTCGAATTGTTTGTTATCACTTTCAGTAATATATCCCACACCGAAAACAAACTCATAAAAATAAACAAAGATTCAATAAGTCGTTGCTGAGATTGTGAACTTATTATTGTTTGGTCAACTGTTTATGAGGCACGATAAACAAATCCATTAAAAAATTATTTCTCGCCGAAAATATATCAATTTTTATTTGCATTGTTCTTCTCGATCTTTGTTCGGTCATAAATTAAGATGCGCATTTAGTATTATTGCCCATTTGACGCACAGACAGTAAAAAATGTCTGCCCCACGCAAAATTTCCATTCGCTGATCGCATATCGTTTTGGTTAATTCGCACTTTTTCGACGGTTTAATATTATTATAAATCAATTTGATATTATTATAAGAAGATTTTTGAAAAAACCTGAGAAATCCTTGACTGATATAATAATTAAGCGCTTCTAAATTGGGTATTATGAATTAAATCCATTATTAATAAACCACCAATTATACACGTATATAATTAAAATTGCTGATATCATCAATATTCCCCGAAATGTTCAAAATTTAACAAAAGCGAGTTTTGGGTTTTTTCTCTCTCTCATTTTGATGATTTGTTCTGGATTTATGCTATTTTGGCTTTATCTTTTTGTTAATTCACTTCAATGCCAGCCA